CTCTGCACCACCCAAAGTCCTGTTATGGTCCACCAGGCTCCTGGAATGGTCAACAGTCGTCACACTCCATCGCTGGCCATTGTCCACTGGTAAAGGTAGGAGGCTCCCAATCCATCCCTCAGTGAAAGAGCAAATAGTGGGGCCTGTGGCTGCTTGGACATCAAAGTTGAGCAAACAGACCTGGCAGCCTTGCCTCTCCGCCTACACATCCTGCAAATGCCATCTGAAGGAGCTTGCCCAAGGGGGTCATGACTTTCAGCTTGTCATAGCACACATCAAAGTTTGCACCACACACGAACTGGGTGCATGGGTTCGAATCAAGTCGCCCGAGAGCGGATACTCAGCCATTGTGTCGAGTTTTAATCCTGTGTTTTCCCAAGTAATTAAGCCTTCTTGCTTATGAACTTGTGACTAAGTAAAGCATCACTGAGAGGTTGTAACATCAAAGTGCCTTCCACCGTCTGTCCATGTTTGATAAAATTGGATTTCTTTTCCTTCTTAAAGAAAAACTAATTGAATTTAGCTGAAGGCTGGGTATATTTGCACTAGCTGGTGAAGACTATGCTAAGTCACAACAATCATCCTGGGACTCCTGCGGCTCAGCCTATGGCTAGGCAGGGTCAAAGTGCACCACAGAACGAGGTACCCAGACTCAAGCTGAACAAGTGCCTTGTGGCAGGAGGCTTGCAGAGGGCTCACTGTGAAGAAGGGGCCAGACCCCAATGACTGCTTCTTAAGTCAATACTACACCAAGCTGTTACTAGGGCTGGCAAAAGGACTGTCCTAGTAGAATGTTTGTAAATCTTTGGCCGAACGGCTACTGAAAACAATGGCCATCACACTGCTCAAGTCCTTGATGTCAGTAGTCCAAGTAAGCTTCTTAAGGCAAAGACTGTGACTGCTTATTCTCTGAATCCTCCCAGAGCCTAGCACATCAGCCCCTGACACAGTTTTAAAAATATCTGCTGGACGCAAAAAATGGTAAAAGGATGCCAGAATAAAGTTCTCTCCTGAAGAACAAAAACTCTCTGTATCCTTTTTTTTTGACTTGCTTATCAGGAAAGTTCAATCTAAATTAATACTCAATTTCACTAATTATTTTAATTTACACTGAGTACAACATGGTCTCCAATATACACACACAAAATAAATATACAGGGATCAATCTCCAGTTGCTGGGAATCAGGGTGACTGCTACTTTCTTCTCTATGGCGTATTCTTACTAAAACAATAAACCATTTTTGGAAAAGAAAATCTCTGGTTCAATCCTGATACAATTATGTTTCCTTTTACTAATATGATTTCTGATATTAATCCAGTTTAACTCTCTTGTGTATATTTATATTTGTATTTTCATTTAAGTCACCTCAAACCCTTTTTGGAAATAAAACGAAGGAATAAATTATAAACTAGATTCCTGTGCATATTTTTAGAATTCAGTACTACAACGATGTACTTCCTATCTAAGACTAAATAAAATAATAAATAAATATAGAAATAAAATTTCACAAGAAATTTAAGCTCCTTGAAATAGACATGATTATATTCTATATCCCGAAGGACTTAACACACTAAGTAGGAGCCTAAGGGTAAAATGACTGGCTATTCCAGGGATCTTTCCCTCGAGCTCATGGGCTGCCAACATTCTAAAGGAAGTGAAAGTTCTCTGCTTGCATCCTTGAATCAAGAGATGTTGCCCTACATCTTCCCTCCATCTAAATTCAATTCAAAGGTGATGGCATTTCAGGCTTGACCAAAATGATTCTAGAAGGATTTGGTGATTATGGAAGAATCAGTATACTTCTAGTAAGAAGAAACTTGTTGGCAGACCACGCTGGTATAGACATAATCTACAGGATTTGGTGAATGATTTTAAGAATCAGTACTCTTCTAGTAAGGAGACACTTATTGGCAAACTGCCGGTATGGATAATAATCATAATAATCTTTCAAGACTCTTAAAATCTTGAATGTCAATCTTACATGACACCTATCAACAAGGCTTATTTACCTTGACAAACGTACATCTGGTACTCTTTTATTATTTTATAAATGATAGAGAAAGAGAAAGCACCTTTGACAGGGTCTTGTAATACCATGATCCTCTTTCCTTGGGCCTTCACTCCTCAGGATCTTGGGTGTCACATGTATGTTTGGTGTGTTTTCAGGCTGATCCAAAGATTCAAACCCATAGTTGGCGATGTGGCTTCCTGCACTAAGTCCAGTATGCAAAGGACTAGAATCTAGGATACTGTTCTTTTTTCTATGGCACTTCTTTTTTCTTTTAAAACTTTATACTTTTTAAAAGGATTACTTTATTTAACTTTATTTATTTTCATTTGACCGGAGAGGAACAGAGCAGTGAGGTTAGGGTAAGTGAGAAAGCAACCCGCCAGGTCCAGGACTCAAACCACAGTCAGCCATGTGGGAGTCCAGTGCCCTTAATTACCATGCCACCTGCCGGCCCCACTATGGCACTTCTTATCTTTTAATATAAGATACAGTTTTCTTATACATTTTACCTATTGTTTATTGTCTGTCCACGTGTTCCTTTAACTCAGGACTACTACTAGTATATAGAGAGGCTCTATGTTTATCACTTTGTTATTTCAAATGCAGGAACCTAGAACAGTTTTGATAAATAGTAGGGGCGGGGACCAGCAGTTGGCGTAATGGCTATGTCGCTGGATTCCCACGTAGTCGACCGCAGTTCGAGTCCCAGACCCGGTGGCTTGAACTCACACTGGGCACGTGTGCGTGTGTGCCCAAGATCCTGAGAGGAAAACGGAGGAGAAGGAACTGTGGCATGGCCATCCCCCCTGGGGGGCGATTTCTCGCTTTCTGTCTCTATGTCTCTCTCTGTCTGTTTGGCGAGCGCATGCACCCTATAGCAAAGACCTCTCCAAAAAATAAAAATAAAAAAATAAATAAGTGCATAAATAATAGGGGCCAAAGTGGTATGAACAAATAAATCCAACCTAAGAGTATTCTCTTTTCAATAAAATCCATCTTCCCTGTATGCTAGAAAGAAGAGAAAAGCACAGAATGGATGCTTAAAAACCTAGTAATTAGTCCAAGGAACCAATGCAAATGAATACAAGCAACATTCTTCACTTTGCTCAACAAACATCACTGTTTTGCTAATGGCCCTGGATAAAGACAGAATGATCAGCTAAACCAACAACTCATTAGATTCAGACAGAAGCCTCCCCAGAAGGTCGTGCTTCTGATCACTGACAGTCCTCAAGTGCTAGCTATTTCCTGTTCCCATCTCAACCCAAGGAATACTACACAACATACCTCTTTCTCCTTCATCACCACTTTTCTTGAAAATGGAAAGACCTGCAAGCTGAGGAAGAAGACCGGCAGAAAGGGTAGAATAGCAGTGGTGGAGAATAAACACAAGTGTGTTTGTGTGGCAAGAAGTCTAGTGCAGGCTAGAATAACTCGCCATTTATAACATGTGGCACACATCCTTGACCTTACCGATTCTTAGATAGATACAGCAAGAATCCACTCTGCTGCCCGACTGGGTCCCCTCATGCCTATTTATATATCAACATTTTCTCTTAAGGAATAAGTGCTTATAGCTAAAGAGAGCAAATAAGGAAACTGACCAAGAACAAGACCACGACAGACAGCAGAGAAGAGAGCCCACGTTTCTTTCTTTCTTTTTTTTTTTCTTTTGAGAGTTTTTCTTTTTTGCTACAGGGTACGTGCGCTCACCAGACAGACAGAGACAGAAAGCGAGAAATCACCCCCCAGGGGGGATGGCCACGCCGCAATCCTTTCTCCTCCATTCTCCTCTCAGGATCTTGGGCATACACGCACACACACTGGCGTGAGTTTTAAGCCACTGGGTCTGGGACTCGAACCGCGGTCTACTACATGGGAGTCCAGCAACATAGCCATTATGCTAACTGCTGGTCTCTTATCCACATTTCTTACCCTTCCAAAAGTGGCCAGGATTGACAGATAAGAGCCTTACAGACCTGCTTGAAAGGAGAATTAAAATTGGTATCTCCAACTATCAATTTCCGTGGCTACTACTAGAGCGCCCAGTCTGCTTTCTTTGAAAGTACCCCTTTTGCTCTTATTTAATCAATTCATTGCATGATCACAGTTAGAGTGAAAGTACACTTTATCCCAGCACTTTGGGAATTCTACAGACTCCAGGGTAGAAGTCAGAACAGAAATTACATCCCATCTGGGATGGGAAGGCAGCATACAGCACTAGCCTGGGATATGGTATCAGGAGGTGCAGTGAGCTATAGTAAAAACACAGACTTTGCAGGTGGCCAGGCTGCATTGTAAATCCTGTCCCTGTTCCTTCAGACAAATTACTTTTTTCTCAGGGCTTCAGTTTTCTCAGCTTTAAAAAGTACATAATAATATACATTTTGTGGAGTGGTTGTAAGAATTAGAGATAACTCTCTCCATGAAATGGACTACTTCAATCTTTACACAATAGTTGTAACTCTCAGGGAATGGGGGTGCAGGCAGGAAAACAACACAGCTCTAACAGAAGGGAAGGAAGGAGGGTCTCCACTTTTTCTAGTTTTCATCAGAACCTCCAAAGAAAAAGTCCTCCATGGAGCCCTTGCTGCAGACAGTGAATGCAGATGTCTCAACATGGATAGACAGTGGATAACAAGAATAAGGTGATAACCCACACATTTACACTTGACCACTTATAAGTGGCAATATTAAAATATTAGATTGCTACAATAATGCAAATGCCTTGCTTATGGTCACAAAGCCAATGAATGATGGAGATGGCATCCATAGCCACACTTTCCTTCTCCACATCTACCACACAGTCCAATGCACAGGGTGTACTCCAGTACCTCAGACTGAATCTATCTCCCTGCCTCTGGAGAAGACAGCAGGAGGGCAGGCCAGGGTGGGAGAATACTCAGGAACATTATCTGCAGAGATGTGGCTAAGG